ACCTGAAGGGCACACGTTTCAGGATCTTAAGCTTAGAACTGGAAAGAGAAGAAAGGAGTAAAGGCTTAGGGAAAAAGCTGCACAAATTTTCTTGATGTCAAAGTTTTGTTTTGTTTTTTACTGTAAAGAGTCATTCTGTAAAATATTAGCTGAGGAAAGCATTTTCTTTTAGGACCAAAGCAATATAAGTTAGTCCTCAGCTTGTTATTGAAGTACACCTTGTTAAAAGTTCCTTGGTGATGAATATTTATTTTTATTTATTTTATTTGTCAAGCATGTATAAGATAACAGATATAAATATAAACATGATTTTGAATACAGGAAATGGATACAAATAAATGAGGACAGTAGGACAGGGATGATAGGCATGCTGGTGCGCTTATGCACCCCCTTACAGACCTCTTAGGAATGGGGTGAGGTCAACAGTAGACAGTCTAAGGTTAAAGTCAGTGGTGGGATTCAGCCAGTTTGCACCACTTCAGGAGAACCGGTTGTTAACTTTTTGAGCAGTTTGACAAACTGGTTGTTGGAAGAAATCATCAGGGCAGAGAACCGGTTGCTAAATTACTTGAATCCCATCACTGGATAAAGTTATGGGGGTTTAGGGATGAAACCACGGAGTCAGATAGTGAATTCCAGTATATATCTTGATGTATCAGAATATATCAGAACTCTTGATCATTTAGTATCGTGGGATTCAGCAGACCAGTCAAAAGGTTGCTGTATGAATGAACCGAATCCCTCTGGAATATGAAAACCACACTTGTGCAAGTTTCATCAAAAGCAATGTATGCATCAGCTGAACGTGTTCCTAGGAAGGGATTTGCTGCCTATATACCATTCTACTGTAATTATTCACCACTACTAATCACTAGTTAGCAGCGGCAAAACATTTCAAAAACAAAGAGGTACACTTTTAAACTAGAGTGCAGGAGAACATAAGAAAACAGCTAATCATGAGAGACAGATTGAGTGGGAAGAACCTTAGAGGTTTAATTTTAGAAATCTTAGTGATGCTAGGCCCAAGATTACTGAAGAGAAGCCATTCATACAGGAAAGCACAGAAAATCCTGCACATTGTGACGAGGCTCTTTTGGAAGTATTGCGGATCTCCCGCAAGGAAAGAAATGTTACTTTACCTGTGTCTCCAGGAAGGTTAAAAACATACTTCTTTCTTACTTCTCACTTAATACTTTTCTTTTTTTTTATTGAAAAAGTTTTCAATTACAAATTTTCCCCCTTTCCCCCCCTCCTCCCTAACCCCCCCTCACCACCCCCTCCCCCCTATGACTTCTTCAAAATAAAAACCTAATACATAACAGATTATATAATATTTTACCATCCCCTTACTCCCTCCTCCAAATACTGACCCTTACTCCTAGTGATATTATTAATATTATTACTTCCCCCTCTTACCATACACTTCAAAATAACATTCCATTATAACACTATGTAATAACTTCTGATTTAACACAGTAATATTATTATGACTCCCAATTTAGCAATAATCTGCCCTTTTTTCTCCTCCCCCATATTTATGTCTGTATATTAATATAACATTTCAAAATAACCTTCCACTTTAAAACTATATAATAAATCCTACTTTAACATTTAATCTTTTGTGTATATTAATATAACATTTCAAAGCAGCCTTCGCCATATATTCTAGTTTTACATTTGTTCTACACTATCCATTTCCTCCACTCCCAAAAATATATCTCTTAAGCATCCCTTTTCTTAATCTGTATAATCAAATCACTAACCTATCTCCACCCACTTTCCTACAAAATTACCATACACAACAATTCTTAAAATCTTTGTTCTTCTGCCCATCCTACTAAAAAATATTCCCTTATATAAACAAAATCAATAACTTTAAACTTATAATCCATACAATATCTTCCTTAATATCTTTCCACTGGATTGCTGACTCCATCATCCGAATTAGGGTAACATAACATCCCAGTTGCAACAGAATATTCAAAATCCTCAGTTATCATCTGCCCCCATCAATAATGAATATCTTCGTATATATATAAGAAAAAAGAAAACAACCACCCGAGTGACTTTATAATTGTAATCCATGTAATATCTGTAATAGTGGCTTTCTTCAGGATTATTAATTCCCATTCTCATAATGGGGTAACAGCCAGATCTTCTGCATGCCCCAGCATAACTCTCTTGCCTTATAGCTCAGCATAAGTATAATACGTTGACCAATGAAAAAAAAAAAGAAAACCCAAAAATAGATAATTCCAATCCAACAATTTAAGGCCCTTTTCACATCCCAAAATTACGGCATTGCAGAGGTCTGTCACTCTCCTCAGGATGATATTAACCAATACTTCACCTCAACCATCTTTTCATATATTCAGTCAATATATATATATATATATATATATATATATATATATATATATATATATAAAAAAAATAACTGGCTTCGCTGTTGCTTAATTTAGAAATTTTTATTTTTGTGAGACCTATTTCTTTTTTTCCTTTCTTTTTGTGGGTTTGATCTCCATCCTAATTTGCTTTCTACAAGTTGTGTGTCAACTGATCGGTTTTCATTCTGCTTTATAACTTGATCTTGTTGGTTTTGCTTTTGTGACTCATATTTCTTTTCTGTAAGTTGTGTATCAATTAATTGATTTCCATGGTTGTCTGTAACTTGGTGAGTCGTCACCTTAGAATCCGATACCACTTCTCTCTTATTTATAAATAATCCAGCTGAGGTGTCTGAAGAATGCAAAGGCAATTCATCTACCAAGGCCTCTGTAACTCGATATTTTTCCTTTATTTCTAACTCCTTCTGCTTGTCTTGTGTTGTGCATAAAGATGTTAAGTTCATTTTTTAAATTTTTTGATAAAATTCTTCCGCTTTTTCAACAGTATTTAATTGATATCTTTCTCCTTGATATCTCAATATTATACCAACTGGAGCATTCCATCTGAATAAAATCTTTCTTTTTTTAAGCTCAGCCACCAGAAAACCAAATTTCTTTCTTTCCAATAACATCTTAGGCAGGAGTTCTTTATAAATCCAAATCTTTCTTCCAAACAATTGCAAAGTAGACTTAAAAGATTTCTGCACAATATTATTCCTTATTTCTTTATCTGTAAAATAAATCACCACATCTCTAGGCAATTGCCTCTGCTTTGCCATCCAGGAGTTTATTCTATAAACTCTATCGATCCTACAAAATACCTCCTCAGGATGAACGTTTAAAATTCCAGCCAGAACTTCAGAAGATATTTTTCTTAGGTCATCTCTGTTATTTTCCTGTAATCCTCTCAGTCTGATCGCATATTCAGTAAAATTATATTGCATCATTAAAACTTCCTTTTCAATATGTTGTTGTATATTTTCTACATTACAATCAGCTTCCATTTTAGGTTTTTCTTCTAAACTATTGTCTTGGATGTTTATCAAATCATTTTCAATTTTTTCTATTTTATTTTCCAAATTATCCTCAATTTCCTCCATTTTAGACTCTAATAGATTAATATTTGTATCCAACCTGATCAAAAATTCTGAGAAACCATTAGCCATTTTTATAATCTTTTCTTTAATTTCCTGCTTAAATTTCTCAAAGTTCTGATGCATAATCTCATCCCTTCTTACAATCTCCTCCAGAAGAAATTCAATTATATTAAAATCAGTTTTCTGAGACTGTAGGTTAAGAACTTGTTCATATAGTTTGTGGATGGGGGAATCCCCCGCCCCCTGCTTGTTTATCCAGCTTTGGAAGCCTAAACGCCATATTTCCACACAGGCAAACTTTTTAAAAAGCAAAGCTTCTTTCCAACGAGATCAATATCAAATCAAATCTCCAGAAAAGAGAAAACACAAAAGTGGAGCTTTTTCTTCAATTGTAGCCAAGAGCATTTATTCTGCTACTTTGTGGCTTAATAAGAAACGGAAGGACTTTCCCTTTTCAGCTTCCCTGCTCAAATTTCGGCAGTCGCCATTTTAAAAGCTCTTTTTTACTTTCCTTTGTAAAAGAAGTATAAATACTTGCAATTTAGGGTCGCAGGTCCAGATCCAGATCTCATCCTCTTTAGTTAATCTGTTAGTTATCTTGAAAGGCTCGTTTTCATAGCCTTGCTCTGCAAAAAAGCAGAGGTCTCCCAACGCCCGGAGCAAACGGCGAGTGCTATAGGGAGCCGCATCCGCTCGCCCCCAAGAGTAAAAAAAAAACTCTGGGGACTACGCGGAGAGCTCTACCTACACTCATCTGCTCTATCTCACATTTCCTCCTGGAAATGGAGTTTTTCGAGCCACCTTTCCGTTATAAAGGCGGCTCTTTACAGGCGAAGGGGCTGGCGGTCCCAAGGGACCGTCTGGCGGCTATGAAAAGCAAACCGGAAGTCCTCACTTAATACTTTTCATTAAATATATACTCTAGAGCCAGTTTGTTATAATTGTGAAGGTGCCAATCTTGAAACCAGGAGACTGTGAGTTGTAGTCCTACCTTAGTTATGAAAGCCACTGGGTAATATGGTGCCAGTCACTCTCAGCCCAATTCACCTCATAGGTGATTGTGGTAGAGAAAATAGAAGCTAGAGGTATAACTATGTTTGCTGCCTTGACTCATTTATGAAAAGGCAGGATGAACATATAATAATCACAATAACAGCAAGAAGCATAATAGTTGCATAAGTCACTGTGCAATGATAAAAAGAAGACAGAAAGAAGTTCAGTCCCATTTTACAGTGTAAGATCGAAGATGTCAAATCAACATCATTCCATTCTCCCTACAGCCCTCACAGATTGTAAGCAGAAGAAATAAGGGCGTTTGATTCCCCCTTCAGTCATTGTCATTCTCTGTTCTTTCTTAGATGCAGGGCAGAAATCCAGATCAGATTCTGGTATTGCAACAACATTTAATAAGAAGTTCGTCTCTGATGCTAGCACAGACTAAAGCAAAGCAAATGAACTGATAGAATATTCTGAATTATGGGGGTGCCTTACTTTTTTTTCTATCCCTTTTCTTTAGGAAAGGGCTGTGACTATATCCGTATAGAAAATGGAAGAATGGCTGAACAGCATAGACAATTTCCAATATGGGAGGGACAATCAATTCAGTTTTATTGTTATGATGGTTATCTGTCTAAAGACAAGCAAACATGGCAAACAGCAAGGTGCATCAATTCCCGCTATGACCCAGAACCAAAGTGTTTCAGTAAGTAATTCTTTCCCTTTGCAGTAGATATTGCCAAGTACAAACAAAACAGATCAGATGCTTTCCTGACCTTGTTTTAACTTGGAAGAAGTAGCATCCTATAGAGCTGTGATGGCGAGCCTATGGCATGTGTGCCCGAGGTGACACACAGAACCATCTTTACGGGCATGCGAGGTGTCACCCAACTCACCTGCAGCTGCACATGTGCGTGCCCCCTATCTAGTGTCCAGGCCTTCGGTGCACATGCATGCAATTCAGGGGACCCACCTCATCTTCGGAACTTCCTGCGCATGTGTGTCTGTTTGCACAAGTGTGAGTACTTGTGTACAGTGTGTGTATGCGCACACACACATGCACAGATGGTGTGATTGTGCACAAAGTGCATGGGGGAAACCGCGTAAAACCTGTGCATATGTGCAGATGGTGTAGTTACATGCACAGTGCATGGGGACATGCACAAAAGCTCTGCGCATGCACAGATAGTCTGGTTGCATGCGCAGCACATGGAAGAGCCACGCATTAGGGTGGATAGCACGCACATGTGCAAAGCGTGCAAAGCACTTACCTGTTCAGCACTTGATGAGTAAAAGGTTCGCCACCACTGCTATAGCGATTTCAGCCTGTTTGGTTCTTCTGCCTGCTGGGGTGATGCTTCCACTGCTGTCTCTTCTCAAGGGATCCTAAAAGTTGTTTTGGAGCCTACGGTTTGTGTACTAAAACCTTAAATGAGAGAGGTAAAAGCTGAGTCTTTTATAAAATATAAACAGCAAAATAGGGATCTTCCTCATCAGCTTCCTCCTCTCTTCACATCTTGTCTGTGAATTAGATGTCATGCATAGCATGAATATCCTTCCAAGAACCATAAATGATGAAACCAATTTGCTCTCTTTTGCTTTTAGAAATCTGTGATCCTGCTCAACGTTTTCATTATGGTCGCATCATTTATCACTACTGGAGCTATTACATAGAAGGTGACAACGTTACATTTCATTGTGATATGGGATATTCTCCTGCAAACCAGCAATCATCAATTACTTGCACAAAAAAGGGATGGTCACCTGCTCCAAGATGTATCCCGCCAGGTAAGCTTTAGGAATCTTTAGGAATGTCTGCTAAAATTGCCTGACCTGAAATTGCTTATCATGCTCTCTCTCTCTCTCTCTCTCTCTCTCTCTCTCTCTCTCTCTCTGTGTGTGTGTGTGTGTGTGTGTGTGTGTGTGTGTGTGTTCATATAAGATTCATATTTCCACAGGGAATTGTGCTCTGACTGGGGTAAAGATATGTATAGGTGTTTATGTATATGCACATATTTGTGCCTATAATTTATTTATTAAACTTACTACTACTAGTAGTAACTTAGTAGTAAACTTACTACTAAACTACTACTTAGATCTATTGAATATTTGCAATAAAAAGCTACCTTTTGATTAGAAGAAAAATATTTCAGTTGAAGTTTGTTAACAATTAAAAATTGTTTTCATTATATTTATTATTTTTAAAGAGAGTGTGATGTGTTTTGATGTGCAAAGGGGATTTAAGTTTTCTCCAATGAAGATCTGAGGCCCAGCATCAATTTTATTGGGCAGTATACAAATATAAAAATAAATGAATAGGGGAATGGCAATTATTAAGGAACAGTAAAATAAAGAAAAGGGTAGTAAACATCAAAATTACATGATAATACCTTTTAATATATATTTTGCAACTAAAACAATTCACTGCATCTAACACATTTTAAAAACTTAATGTGTGTGTGTGTGTGTGTGTGTGTGTGTGTGTGTGTGAATGATAGTATTTGCATAAAAAGAATTGGGTCTGTGCTTTCACAATTGTATAATGCTACAGAAGTCTTAAAATATGACTATCCTCTAATTGTTGTCAGTGAAGTTGTATTGTGTCTAAAGGTTGAAATTGTGGCAACTGGAGAAAACTTTGTTAATCTAAGACATTTAGTTGCTAATCTGATATTGTCACCCATTAAACTCCAAAAGATTTGGACCAGAATACAGGACATTCAAAACACAAGTGAGAATCTTCGGCCCATGATGCACATGTAGGAATTCCAATACAGACTCAGATCAGGCCACTAAAATATGGAATACATATAGCTTATATGGCAGTATAATTTATTTTATATAATTAAAGGGCAAATTAGATGTCTTAAGTTTCTATAAGAAAGACAACCATGAATCTGCCTAATCAGATACATTTATTTCCCCCCTCAATCTGCCTATGGATTTTCCAACATATCGTATACAGCTTTTCTTTGCAGCCTCATAGCCATTTATTCATGATTTTGAAAAGAGGCAATCTTCCTCTGGCTCCACTGGTTTCCCAGGTATTTTACAAAGAGGTCACATTTTATAAACAGAAGAATTCACATTGTATACTTCCTTTTTCCATTACCAGTTGAACACACTTGTACGAAGGTTTCTCTATCCCATGGGAATTTTGGATCGCAGCAACAGAGTTTTCAGATCAATGCTAAAGCAAAATATATTTGTCATGATGGCTATACAACGTCAAAAGGAGAGACTGAGGCAGAGACACAGTGCCTTAAAGAGGGCTGGAGCCCAGAGCCAGAATGTATCAGTAAGTAAATACAATTCCTTTCAATTCAATCCATAGATTGAAACTGACTGGCATAGACAAAGACATGGAATCTTATTCAGTGAAGAATAGCCTGATATCATAACAATTTATTTATTTTGTCAGGCATGTATTAGATAACAGATATAAGTATAGACATAATTATGAATACATGAGATAGATGCAAATAAAAGGGAACATTAGGACAGGGATGATAGGCATGCTGGTGCGCTTATGCACGCCCCTTACAGACCTCTTAGGAATGGGGTGAGGTCGACAGTAGACAGTCTAAGGTTAAAGTTTTGGGGGTTTGGGGAAGAAACCACAGAGTCAGGTAGTGCATTCCAGGCATTGACCATTCTGTTGCTGAAGTCGTATTTTCTGCAATCAAGTTTGGAGTGGTTTACCTTAAGTTTGTATCTATTTTTTGCTTGTGTATTGTTGTGGTTGAAGCTGAAATAGTCATTGACAGGTAGGACATTGTAGCAGATAATTTCATGTACTACGCTTAGGTCAGACCGAAGGCAGCATAGTTCTAAGTTGTCTAAGCCCAAAATTTCAAGTCTGGTGGCATAAGGTATTCTATTGCGGGTAGAGGAATGGAGGACTCTTCTCGTGAAATATCTCTGGATTCGCTCAATTGTATTAATGTCCGATATGCAGTGCGGGTTCCAGACAGATGAGCTGTATTCGAGAATTGGTCTAGCAAAGGTTTTATATGCCCTAGTTTACAATACAATATTACCGGAGAAGAAGCTACGCAAGATTAGGTTAACAAATTTTAATGCCACTGTAACAATGCTGTTACAGTGAGCTCTGGCACTTAGATCATTTGAGATGAGTACTCCAAGGTCCTTGACAGAGTGAGGGTCGTCTACAAGGTCGTAACCGCGCAACTTGCATTTTGTGTTTTGAATTTTTTGGCAGTGTGTAAGACAGAGCATTTGTTGGTTGAGATTTGGAGTTGCCAATTGTTTAACCATTCTGACAGATAGTCAAGGTCTTTTTGTAGGGTAGCAGTATTGTCGGTGGTGTTGAATAGTTTTACATCATCAGCAAAGAGAACGCTGTTGCTTATAAATATGACCATAAAGGTTGTTTATGTAAAGTATAAAGAGTTTGGCTCCTAAAACGCTTCCTTGGGGGACACCGCTGTTAACAGGTGCAGGGTTTGATAGGGTGTTCCCTATTTTGACTACTTGTTGCCTATTTGATAAAAACACAGCTATCCACTTATGTAGGGATCTGGAAATGCCATAAGATTTTAGTTTTAGAAGTAGTTTGTCGTGTACTACTGAATCAAAGATTTTAAAAAAATCAAATCAAATTTGTAAATGTATCTCTTCAAGAAGTCTAACTATAGGCTCATAGTATAAAATTATTGTTTTGTTCATGATTTGATAAAAATAACTTGCAATCTAAATATGTGTACCCTTTTATTGTAAACATACAATTTGCATTTTATTTCCTGTCCTCCCAAGAGCTTATGCCACAAATATCCTATAGATGCAAACAGAAAACATATATTATGGATTTTCCATTTACAGAGAGTTAAATATCCGTAAACTTGCAAAAGGGCAAGAAAACTTGTTGAACATCTGCCATGTTCTCTTCACAACATATAATAAGCACAAAATTTACTTCAGATTCAAAAACAAAAACTGTTGAAAGACACAAAGTGCTCACATAGCGACTTGTCTGCAGGGTAGGTAGCCACAACTACAGCACAATCCTGAAAAAAATATGTATATGTGTTCAGATGCTAGAATCGTGAAAGGGTCAGTGAAGTAGTCTGCAAGACCAGATTGTCTAATGTGACCCACTAACTTGGTTAAAAAGCAACTAACTATGTTTGCCAAAATCACTAGCGTGAAGCAGTGAGAGCTTATTTATAGCAACTCATCATTTGCTTTGTGCATGTGCCTATACCTAAGAGGTCATTCCTTGGTGAAAATTGTTGAGCTTATAACTTAGACTCATGAGAAAAGAATAGTGAGACATTAATAATATTCACTCTTTGATTCCACAGAGACATGCTTAAAGCCACCTGAAGGTGATTTTATTTTCAACACAACTAAGTCTGTTTTCTTTCCTGGAGACAAACTTCACTATGAATGTAAAGAGGGTTTTGAAATCACTAAAAATACCATCGATGACACCGTAGCATGCACTGAAAAAGGATGGGAACCTACTCCTAGCTGTGAGGGTAAGTTAATGAAACACCAGTCTGATTATCCAGTTGTCTAAATCAGTTCATCAAGAATATTTTCCTGATGTTGCATTTATATTTATATATACTTAAAAGTATTGTAATCCTAAATTATTTTTCAGAAATTGGCTTTTCAAATAGAAACTAAAAAAAGTAGAATAATTAAATTTAATTTTCTCCCCTTTGTTCTTCCAGTAATTTCTAAATATTAGCTATAACTTTCTCAATAATAATCTATTTATCATATATTCACAGATGTTAAATAAATAATATAAAATAATATAAATATTAAAATGGATAACCATATCTCATTATAATCATCCATCTATAGTTTATGCCTGGGAGATTCAGCAAGGTGTAATGGTACTGGACTAAATGCAGGGAAATCCAGTTTTAAGTCTTCCCCTCAATTCAGAAAACAGCTGGGTAACCTTGGACCAATAAGCATCAGGCTGTGAGACAAGCTGAAAAATAAAAATTCTCATCACATTGTGCATTGACAGCTTTACTGTGTGACTAGGCAAGCACAATGCACAACAAGCAACACTAGGAAAAATCCTAAGAAGGAAGATACCACCAATAACATGGCCTAATTTAATGATTTTAGGCATTGCCAAAACATGTTTGATTGAAACATAATCTGATTTAATCTCCGATAATAGGTTAATTTACCCATTTCTTTTCTATACAAATACAATTTAGTCCAATGTCCAAGATATAATTTTTATTGAATAATGCAAAGTTTAATATCTATTGAAATACTTTAAAAACAGCTTTTATTGTTTAGATAAAATGGGGATCTCAAATTCCTTATTTGACCTATTCTACTTGACATTGACATCTATTTTGATGGGTAAAAAGGTAAAGGTAAAGGTTCCCCTCGCACATATGTGCTAGTCGTTCCCAACTCTGGGGGGTGGTGCTCCTCTCCGTTTCAAAGCCAAAGAGCCAGTGCTCTCCAAAGACGTCTCTGTGGTCATGTGGCTGGCATGACTAAATGCCAAAGGCACACGGAACGCTGTTATTTTGATGGGTATATATGTACAAATCAAATTGATTGATTGAGAAATATTTTTAAAGATTAATCACAAGATTGTTAGTTTCATAAGCTGCTAAAGCTGAAAATGCTGAATTGTGGCAGTTTTGAAATGGTCCCATTTCTGGAATGTCATTACCCTGTCCCCCACTCTATAAGGAGCCCAAAGGGCAGAGCAGCTGGCTCTATTTCCCAAACACAAGGTAATCTGAAGCTCTGTACAACAACTTTCTCAACCACCTTTCCAAAACAAGGTTAAATACTGGGCTAAAATTGTCCAATATTTAGCAGTGGCTAAAGTCTCATACAGGCTTCTTTAATGAGACAGAAGGGACATGTATCTATAGAGAAGATGGCTGAACTCCCATTCCTAGGTACCCAATCCACTTTGTCAGGTCCAACAGTTCAAACTGCTTCCAAATAAGAGACTTCTTCCCAGGCATCCACTCTGGACCTGCAACAAGGCTGGCATCTAATTGTGAACTTATCTGAGCATTTTTTTTCTAACAGATTCTGAGCGAATTTCTCCATATGCTCCTACAAAACATTTTTCAAACCCCCCTTTATTCAAAAGGACTTGTGTCACCCTTAGACAGGACCATGGAGCAACTATCCTAGTGCATGCAGTAGGGGTATAGAAGCATTGAAGCTTCATCATCCTTACGGCCACACGATAAACCTTAATAGAGGCTCTAACCCATATTTGGTCACATTTGTTCTTTGCTGAGTGCCATAAATACTCTAGACATCTCTTCTGTCTGATCATCTCCCTCAGCTTTTTCATAAGCCATGAGAAATGGCAGGATTCTTGAGAGGAAAGGTTGCATTGTTGCTATCTGATACAATGCCTCAGCCCCCCCCCCTTTCCAACCAGTGACCAAGTCTTCGGATGGACCGTAAAGCAGATGAGCAGGAATAACCACCCAGCTCTCCTGAAACCTATGTATCCATCATCTAAGACAGACCAATCTAACGGACCCATAGAGGCACTAGAGAATCCCATAGTAATCAGGGTGTGATCTAAAACACTGGAAGCTCTCCCAATTCCAGATCACACAACCACTACTCCAAAGGAAACCAGATCTGGAGTGTGATCATTATCCCATGTTGGGCTCTGGATGATCCGAGATAAGCCCATGACCATCAAGATCAGCATGAATTCCTGAGCCATCTGATCCCACTCCCAGAGAAGGCAAATTGAAGTCCTCTAAAGTCTGGGGAACCACACTTTCATCATAGAAATGGAATGAAGGAGCTCAGGTAGGGAGTTTATTGTACAGTAGGAACTACAGCAACAATCCCAGTTAATCACTAGAGTGCAATTTACTGAACAGGGTCTCACATCTGGTAACTTGTAGAGTAGTGCCCTCAGAAGCCATAAGGGATTCCTGGATGACAAGCTACTGGGAAACTCTGAGGAATATATAGTCGAACTCATATTGCACTTAAGGAATATAAAATAATGTTTATTTTATATATAAACATAAGTGTCTCAAACTTTCTGGCAAGCAGTGTCATTCTGAAATAACCTTATTCTATTTTATTCAACATTTGTATAGCCATAGTATGTAATACTCCATTTTTGGAAAATGGCACAATTGAACCAAGAGAGGACATATTTCACCATAAAATGGTGGTACATTTTAAATGTGATGAAGAATTCACAAGAGTTGGCTCTGAATCTGCACAATGTTATCACTTTGGATGGTCTCCACAGCCTCCAATATGTAAAGGTAAAAATGGGCAATTTAAGAATTATTACTGTATTTGAGGTGTGAGGAGGGAAATTAGGGGATAGGTTTTTCTAAAAATATGTTCTGTTTCTTAGATTGTATAAGGAAAGCTAATCAGTGGCCAGTAAACAGATTTGTCTTAGCAGGATGTATTGAATGGGTCTCTCACATCTTCATTTATACATATACAACTGTATTGTTAAATTGTGAAAAGAAAATGTTCATGTGAATAGTAATATTAATTGTTTTTCAGGTTTTTTTATATTTTAGAGGCAAGGGGGTTATTTCTTCTTCATTATATTAATAGGACTTTTGAATGTAATTTTAACATAACCAAGCACAAAAAGAAGTCAAATAGCAGAATTACAAATCTATTGTAATATTAAACTGACCAGCTACACAAAATCAGAAATGTATATTGCAAAAGGAAAGAAATGACAATTCTCCTGTACTGACAAGTAGCAGCTGTATTTGAAGTCCATTTCTTTATTGTAATCATTAAATAATATACAATTTTTTATTGAACTTTATAAAAGATTACAATTACGACAGTAAAAATACAAACTAAAAAAGGAAAATAGAAAGTGCAGGAAAAAATGAAAAAAGAAACAGATATAGAAAAGAAAAAATATTAAGAATATCATAAAGAAAAATATATAAAGAAGTAACAGAATAACAGAGTTGGAAGGGAACTTGGAGGTCTTCTAATATAACCCCCTGCTCAAGAAGGATACAAAAAGAGATAAAATGATCAACAAATAATAAAAACATTCCATTAACACCTTATACGAAAATAAAATGGTGGTAAGAAACTCGTCATTTGAGAAATCTGGTTTTCCTGACCAAAAGGCAGAAAGGAAAGATCTTAGCTGCTTTTCTAAAGGTGTTTAAGGTGAGGATCAATTTTACATTGGGGGAAAATGTTTCAAAAAGGCTGGTGCATCCCTCAGAAAAGCACACAACCTGGGTGCCATAAGATAACATTATTCATTGAGGGAAATCAGATCAATATATACACTTGGGAGCTGTTGGCCCTGCAAGTAGCCAATCCTATCCCATGTAGGGCTTTATAGATTGTAACTAGCACTTTCAATTCCACTTTGAAGCCTATTGGGAGCCATGACAGCTCACAGAGTATATATGTCATATGGGCAAAATGAGAGACGTACATAATTACCCACATCATTGCATTCAGGACCAAGTGAATTTTCCAGAATTTTCATAGTCCCATGTACAGCACATTGCAATAATTCAATCAGAAGGTTACTAAGGCATTAATGACTGTGAGAATTACCTCTATAAAAACTAAAGAAGTTGACCTTGATAGAGAGAGAGAAGAGCTGTTACTAAGTCAGCGAGGAAATAAAAATTGCAGAAGCCCAAATGAGGGGGCAGATGTACAAAAACCAGTTTAATTTACACAACATATAAAAGAAGGAGGAGGGGAAAGACATTCAAATCTGCAAGTTAGCTATATGCAATATTAATAAAATGCATTCTAGCCTTCTATGATGTCTCTTTCTTGGTCTGAGTCAGGATCAGTGGTGGGTTGCCCCTGGTTCAGACCGATTCACAAGAATTGGTAGTAAAACCGGTGGGAGGCCCCGCCCACTGCCCTGGATGTCATCATGCGCATGTGCAAAAGTTTCTGCACATGTGCATAAGCAAAGCATGCACACAAGTGATGCGAGCGCGCACACGCGTGTGATCCTGTTGTGAATCGGTAGTAAAGGTAAGTAGAAACCACCCCTGGTCAGGATCAAGCACAATTGGTATGCAAGATGAAGCTTTGCAAAGCGCCCCAGCCACAGTTGCCACTTCAAACATGAGCTATGTGTGCAAGAAGTATGAACTGAACCCAAGCAAAGAGGTGCAATTCCACTCAGAGTCAAGGTTGATATCTTTCCAGGTCTAAGACTGATAAGGTAAATAACCCATAGCCACTTGATCTTGTTTAGGCTGGATCTAAAATCTGTTCTTCCCTATTCAGACCCTCACATCCATCTGAACACTGTGACAAAACTGTGACAGTTTCACTTGAACAACTAGGGACAGAAATGTACAACTAGGTATAATTAAAATAGGATAATACTGCATAGAAATTGGTGAATGACCTCCCCCAACAGCTTCATAAAGATCTTTAGAAAGGGATGGGGCTAAGGCTTTAGTCACCCCACTAAGCAAGAGGTTCAGACTACACTGCTCCACCTTACATTGACTGGAACCAGCCCTGGAATAAGGAGAAACATCTCAATAAGTGCCCCACTTCCCAAGTTCCTAAACTAGTCCAGAATGTTACTGTGATTGAAGGTATCAAAGGTTCCTTTTCTTTCAGCCATGGATGACTCAACAACAAAAGCTACTTACTTCTGAGTTTTCTTCAGTATTTAATCTGAAAGAGAAAATTGTCTTTGCTCTGATATTTAGCCAACTGGCCCTCTTGGGATTCCTTCTAGGCATTTAAGATAAATGTTTGACCATGTACAGCATTAATTTTCTTAAAATGGAACACTTGGTTCTAAATATAACTTTCCTCAACTTTCTAATACATTGTTCACTCCCATCTTTTATTCATTCATTTTTCCCCTGTTGGTTAGTACCAACAGACAAGAGAGTTGATCCTCTTCTAACTTTCCACATGCTTTGAAGAAGACAATTATTGAAAACTCACATGTAGACTTTGCTGAAGAGCGTTTCTAGCTATTACTACAACTTTATATGTCTTTGTTCACATGTCTTTGCACCTTTTTGAGGGTAAGGGAGGAAATGAGTAACAGATAGCAATAGTAGACACAAAAATCTACTTAGTTATGTTTTTAAAGTTATTTCTAATGTATACTCTTGGACACCAGACCTATATTGACATTTTTAACAAACATTGTCTACTACTGTTCTTCTACTGCTTTTGGTCCTGAGGTTGTTGTAATAGTTGCAATAGATATAACAATAATAAAATTCAAGCATATCCCTGTGGGACTTGAGTAAACACTCAAAATAAAAGTGATATTCTCTTTTTTCTAGAAAATGTTAAACCTTGTCGGGCAATACCCATCATTTCAAATGCCATAGTTACTGATGAACCTAAACCAGTATTTCAGCATGGTGATCGATTGGAAGTTCAGTGTGAGATCTCATTTGCACTATATGGATCAAAAATCATAGAGTGTGTGGATGGTGATTGGGCACCCTTACCATCATGCAAAGGTAAGCAGCAGCTGCTTGAAAGATGTCTTCACAAGAAGAAATATAAGCAGACAGACTTGTAAATGTAACATGGAAGTTTCTTGCACTTATCTGGGAGGGGGAGTGGTGGTGGGAGTGTTCCATGGTGTGCAAACTGGAATCTTCCTTCAGAACAGATTCCAATACATTATTCGAAGAGAATGGAAAGGGTGAGATTACTTGCCAGTGTTTAAGTAACAAAATTATAGAGGAATTAAAGTGTTCTGATTTAGTCTAATAATCTCATGAGTCATGAATATATTCCTGTGCTTAGTTCTAATACTTGAGTCTTTGTTCCTTCCAACAGGAAGTAGAAATTGAGAGCTGTCCTTCTCTCTGTAGCATTTCCATGGCTCCATCAGAACAAATAGTAAACTCAGACATTGCTAGAGGTAGCATGATATTCGGAAAATTTAGGACAAAGTATTGGAAATAAAATGAATGTGGGCTTAATGTAGCTAGCTGGTTCACCAATTCATGTTAAAAATACCACCTCAGATTTTGAGACTTCAGTGTTGCAAATTAAATAATGACAAAAAATTGCAGCAAATGATTTAAATAATTAGCAATAAAAATATTTAAGCCATGGTAATATAGTACAAATTGAGAGTTAGCAGTAGAATGTGGATGTTCACATATATTTGCCTCCTTCATTTGACCAGAACTTTCTGTCAGAGATATTAAAGGCCTCTAACAAAACTGAAAAAAATAAAAACTGTCCATAATGTTTTATTTTTATTTATTGATTGATTGATTGATAATGGAGTTACACTGGGTACATGAAACAGAGCAGCAAATTGTTAGAAGAAGCTAAATTATTAATACCTTTATGTAATAATACCTTTTCTGCTGCTTTCAACAGAGGAAATAAAAACTTGTGGACGACCTTCAACAATTAAAAATGGATATTTTCTCAATGTTAAGTCATCCATATACAGGCATGGTGACACCGTGGAATACAGATGTACACAACAACATTCCATTATTGAGACCAACCTAGCTAAGTGTCTTCATGGGCAGTGGGAAGTACCTTCATGTCTTGGTAAGCTAATAAACCTACAGAAATGAATTTTAGGCTTGTCTTGGAATACATCAGTATTTATTATTGACATGATTGCTCAGAAGTGTGATTCAATGGGATAACAATGGGAATTGCTGCTAGGAAGTATAGGTTATATTGAATTGGTTTATGCCAGTATGGTTTACAGGCATCTTATTTTTCCTGTCTGATCCCTATTTAAAGAGGATTTTCATAGGGCCTATGAAAAAGCAATATTTTAGTGCTTTTGAAAATGATTCAATCTGAAATATAATCCTGGTGGGATTATGTCTTTACCGTTAGACAAGAAAAATCAAATGCATAGGTATAGAATAGGTGGCATGTAGCTCAACAGCAGTGGACAACCACTTAAATATGAGTCAGCAGTGTGCTGCAGCTGCCAAAAAAGCCAATGAAGTCCTAGGCTATATCACAGAGGAATATTATCAAGGTCACATGAAGTGTTAGTACTGCTTTATACTGCTTTGGTAAGACCATATTTGGAATACTGCATCCAGTTTTGTTACTTTGATAAAAAAAAAAAAGATGTTGAGACTCTAAAAAGGATGTAGAGAAGAGTAGCAAAAATGATTAGGGGACAGGAGGCTAAAACATACAATGAATGGATGCAGGAACTGGGCATGTCTAATCTAACGAAGAGGAGGATTAGGAGTGACGTGACAGCAGTGTCCCAATATTTGAGGGGCTGTCACAGAAAAGAGGAGTCAACCTATAGTTTTTATTGAAATTCCTTGGGAAAATTCTGTAGAAGTACAGATGTTTTATGTGAAATTTTTCAGCATCTCCACGTATTGTTGGGAAAATTCCGGTTGGAAATCCTGGAGAGTCAATGTATAGAGAAGTGGGAGGCCTCCTGGTACTGTCCAAATGTTTTAGATTTCAATTCCCATTGGACCTAGCTAACATAAGCAGTGAAAAGGGTTATGAGAATTATAATCAAAATTCTGGAGGATCCTAGGCTGCTTCGCTTTAATATCTAAAACAGACATGTCAAACTCAGGACCCACAGGCAAGATCTAGCCCACAATGTGTTTAGATCTGGCCTGTGGAGCTGCCCTGAAAACAGTGAAGGACCAGCCCCCACCGCCTCAGCCCTGGCCCATCATAGTCAGGGGTTCCTTCTGGGCGCGCACACAGGAGGCCATGAGCACCTTCGATGCCATGGCTGCTTTTGCTCAACTGATGTGCTGCTTGGTGTGCTGACTGAGTCTATGCAGCCTGCGTCTTGTGCCAGATAATGGCCTGCCAGTCTTGCTGCCTGGTGTTTGGCCTTCATGCCTGACTCACCAGGTGGCTTTTCCATATGCAGCACTGAGAAGTTGCCACAGCAGCAGCAGAAGCTTGGCCACCAGTGCCTCCTTCTTTGAGTGCTTCCCTTTTACCGGGACAGCCTCTGCCACCACCCCACCTCCATGTGGGAAAGCCACGGCCACCAGCAGCTCCCCTCATCCCTTCCTGGGCATATAGAGAAAGGAAGGGAGGGAAGAAGTAAGAAAGGAAGGAAGGAAATGAAATGAGAGGAAGGAAGAAAAAGAAAGGAAGGAAGGAAGGAAGGAAAAGAAGGAAGGAAGGAAGGAAGGAAGGAAGGAAGGAAGGAAGGAAGGAAGGAAGGAAGGAAGGAAAAGGAAGGAGAAGGAGAAGGAGAAGGAGAAGGAGAAGGAGAAGGAGAAGGAGGGAGGCAGGGAGATTAGAATGAGAAGGAAAGAGAAAGTTTATTAGAAGTCCTACCTTAACACTCGGCCACCAGCAGCCCAGCTGCCCTCTCGCCATCCCCTTGCTCCCTCCTCCTGGCCTCTCCTGATGATCTCCCATCCTATTGCTGAGGATGCTTTGCTTAGAAAGCCGAGTCTCCTTACATGGAGAGGGGGTGGGCTTCCCTCTGACTCACGCACATGCACCATGAGCAACCTGGCCAAGAATAGTGAGCACAGCAGCAATAGCCTCAAGGAGGCGGTAAGCAAGTTGGGCACCCCCTCAGGGAAGTGGGGTTGGGCTGGGCTGCAGAGCCCTGGTGCCCTGGGACCTAAAGGGCTGGGATGGCAACTTGCCCTCTGCTGCCCAGGGCTCCGGGCAGCCCACCGCTGTCCTGGGGTCTCTGTGTGGCCTGAGAGGGACACCAAGGCTCCTCTGGTGGACGAGGCTTTGGCACTCACCTTGGTCACCTCCACTAGAGACCTCTGGATCCCCCCTCTAAGCCTCACCTGGCCCCACACAGGAGGCAGAGGATGCCTCTGCCGAAGCCAGATAACAGGGCAGATCTTGTAGCCTTTAATCCTGCTCCCTCGCCCTTTGGAATATTCACTCTGATGCTGGGATAATTCACAAGAAGAGAATGTTTATAGCTGCATTCATTTGAGGGGAAGGGATTACAAGAGAGTAAGCAGGCACACCAAGGGAAGCATACATTGAAAAGCATTCACTCTTTGCCTAGTGCAATTCATGAATCATTTCAGAGGCAAAGAAAAGCCTTTAGTTGAAACCTGGTTAAAGCATCAGTAGCAGTGCCAGACGAAGGGTTCCAATCAACTAAAATGACAAAACTGAGCTAGTTAACTTGCAGTTAGCACTTTTTAGGGAAGTGCTCCACCGGGGAGAAAAGCAGCTCAGAAAGAATAACTTGTTTAGTCAATCTCTCTGCTCTGGAAGAGGTGGAGAAGAAAAAAATGGACCAGACACAGGACATCTACTAATCTATATAAATAAAAATGTAAATGTCCGTTTGTACATAACCACACATCTCCAAAATTTCTTCACCGATTGATTTCAAATTTTGACACAACGTTGCATTTGACTACGGGCATGTTTTTATATACCTCTCCATATACATGTCACACCTGTGACAGGTAAAAACATGAAAAACATTGGAAAACATTAAAAGACATTGACAAACATTGAAAAACAGCGCCATCTGCTGGACGTATTTATTATTTATTTATTTATTAATTTAATTTGTATACCGCCCTTCTCCCAGAAGGGACTCAGGGCGGTGAACAGCCAAAATTAAAAAACATACAAATGCAAAAGTTAAGATAATTAAAAGAATTAAATCATTGGCTACCCAAATTTAAAACCCCAAATCCATAAAATTTAAAATCCCAATTAAAAACCATTTAGGCTAGGCCGGCTTGATGAAATAAAAACGTCTTCAGGGCTTTACGGAAGGTCCGGAGGTCCGGGATCAATCGTATTCAAGGAGGCAGCTCATTCCACAGGGCGGGTGCCCCCACAGAGAAGGCTCTTCCCCTGGGGGCCGCCAGCCGACATTGCCTGACCGACGGCACCCCGAGGAGGCCCTCTCTGTGAGAGTGTATTGGCCGGTGGGAGGTTATCGGTAGCAGCAGGCGGTCTCGCAAATACCCTGGCCCTAAGCCATGGAGCGCTTTAAAGATGAGAACCAACACCTTAAAGCGCACCCGGAAGACCACCGGGAGCCAATGCAGCTCGCGCAGGAGAGGTGTTACGTGGGAGCGCCACGTCGCTCCCATAATCACCCGCGCGGCCGCATTCTGCACCAGCTGGAGCCTCTGGGTGCTCCTCAGGGGGAGCCCCATGTAGAGAGCGTTACAGTAGTCCAGGCGTGACGTAACCAAGGCATGAGTGACTGTGCACAAGGAGTCCCGATCCAGAAAGGGGCGCAACTGGCATATCAGGCGAACCTGATAAAAAGCCCCCCTGGCCACGGCCGTCATATGCTCTTCTAAAGACAGCCGTGTGTCCAGGAGGACGCCCAAGTTGCGAGCCCCCTCTGTGGGGGTCAGTGACTCGCCCCCAATAGCCAGCGATGGCACCAGCTGGCTATACCGGGACGCCGGCATCCACAGCCACTCGGTCTTGGAAGGGTTGAGCTGAAGCCTGTTCCTCCCCATCCAGACCCGCATGGCCTCCAGACACTGGGACATCACTTCGAGGGCATCATTGGGGTGGTCTGGGGTGGAAATGTACAGCTGAGTATCATCAGCGTACAGATGGCATCGCACCCCAAAACCACGGATGATCTCACCCAGCGGCTTCACATAAATGTTGAACAGGAGCGGTGAGAGGACCGACCCTTGCGGCACCCCGCAAGCAAGGCGCCTCGAGGTCGACCTCTGCCCCCCTGCCAACACAGACTGCGACCGGTCAGAGAGATAGGAGGAGAACCACCGCAACACGGTGCCTCCCACCCCCAGTCCCTCCAGCCGGCGCAGCATGATACCATGGTCGATGGTATCAAAAGCCGCTGAGAGGTCTAACAGGACCAGAACAGAGGAGCAACCCCTGTCCCGAGCCCTCCAGAGATCATCCACCAATGCGACCAATGCCGTCTCCGTGCTGTACCGAGGCCTGAAGCCGGACTGGCACGGATCTAGATAGACGGTTTCATCCAGGAACTGTGGGAGCTGTTGCGCAACCACACTCTCCACAACCTTCGCAACAAAGCGAAGGTTGGAGACCGGACGATAGTTTGCCAAAACGGCCGGGTCCAGAGAAGGCTTCTTGAGGAGGGGCCTCACCACCGCCTCTTTCAAGGCGGGAGGCAAGAAACGTAAAACCAACATGGCAGCCTCCCAGCCCTGATTATGCTCAACAGATTTCTGCTCCTTATATTTAGACTCTCCATATTGCTTTCAAGAAACTGCACATTTGGAAGGCAGAGTGGCCTGGGGGCCATATCCTGCCACCAGGCTCGTCAGGTAGGCAGCCGGCTCCCCGCTGGGAAGCCCTCGTCTCGCAGCCAGCACTTCTAGGGCTCAGCGGAGCCTGCCCAAACCTGGCTCTGACCTCCCCCTCCCCCAGCCACCCCGTGAACTAGCCTCGCTGGCCACTGCTGCCCATCCCCCTCACCAGCCGCTCTCAGGACTCCCTCCAAAGAACACCTGGCAACGAGGCTGCCTGGGTCCACCGAGCGGGAACTCTCCATCCCTCGCCTGGCCTGAATCGTGCCTGGCCCAGTGCTACCATGGGCCCCGAGGTCAGAAAAACCAGCTGCTAACCGGCGCTATGCGAATCCGGTCGGTGAGCAGGAGATGGAGGCACCTGGAGCCTCGGGGTCACCTTTGACCAGTGCCGCTTTGATTCCCAGGTGGGCGCTCTGGCAGTTCACGGAGCCTACATGAAAATATCGGCCTCTGGCAGAAAAGGGGCTCCGGGGAGGCTTCGGGGGGCAGAAACGGGCAGGAGGGAGGATGGCCGGCCCTCCTTCATTTCGCCTGGAAGAGCAGGGGATTTAATCATTCCCCTGCCCTTGGCAGGCGGGAGAGGAGAACTACGCACCAGGGGTCCAGTGGGGTGTGCGTGGCTCCTGGCTTTGCCACTTTCTTCCTTCAGGTGGGAAGCCCCAAACCAGCCTCGAACCCCTGCCGTACCCTTCCCTCCCTTCCCTTCCCTTCCCTTCCCTGCTATTCATCTCCCCATCGAGCCCCCAGAGAACATCTGTGTAGGGAGGACGGAGGGGGCCCCTGAGTTTCTCCTGTGGTGCGGAAAGCTGTGTAGGCCTGGCCTAAAAAAGTAAGGGCAATGGCAGGAGATGCAGAAGAGGCTGGGCCAGAGACAGAGATAAACAGAGAGAGAGGGAGAGGGAGACATAGAGAAATACAGAGAGATGGGGGGGAGAGAGAGACATACAGAGATAAAGAGAGAGAGGATGGGCGAGAGAGAGAGACAGAGATACAGAGGGGGGAGAGAGAGACAGAGATACAGAGTGGAGAGAGAGAGAGACATAGATACAGGGGGGAGAG